CCCGGTGCCGGGTCTCACCCGCTGACCCTCTTCCCCCTGCAGAGCCTGTTCCTGGGGGAGCTGGGGCTGCCCATCGTCTGCGTGGGCTCCGTCTGGAATAGCTGGGAGAGGATGCAGGCGGGTGAGCGGAGGGATGGGGGCTGCTGGGAGTGGGGAGGGGGGGGTCCTGCGGTCCCCTGTAACCCCAACCCTCTGTGTGTCCCCCCCCTCCAGGGTTCATCCGTGTGCTGGCACAGGCACGGGAGGAGACCCCCGGCCACGTCTTCTCCCGGTTCAGCCTCCTGAAGCTGAAGCGCTCCTCGGCGCTGGGGGGGGCCCGCTTGGGTGCCAGGAATATCGGCCAGGCTCTGCCCTTGGACTACGCCGGCAACGTGGATGTCTTCTACACCCACGTCTTCTAGCTGTGGCCCCCCACGGCTCCCTCCCAGCCCCGGGAAGGGAGGGACCCTCCGCACAGGGCAGCAGGGGGATTTGGACAAATGAGTTTTGTAATTTGGCAATAAAAGGGTTGCACTGCCCAAAGGGAAATGGGCGTGATGGGGCAGCGTGGGGCTGGGAGCGTGGCTCAGCAGCCACGAGGAGAGGAACCGACCTCGGTGCAGGGGTTGGGGGGGGGTGTGCTCCAAGCTGTGGTGGGGACGTTGGAAAATGAAGAAAAACGGACCTTGAAGGTTCCTGTTTCGGTGCCCAAGGACGGGCTGCAGCAGCTGTGGGTCTGGGGATGGGGTGCTGCCCACGCCTGCCTGGAGGCTGAGCAGGGAGGGGGTCTTGTGCTCGGGAGGCAGCTGGATCCAAGCAGAACAGGAGGGAGCGATGCCGACATTGGGCGAGCAGGGGGAAGGACTTGGTGCTAACGGCGAGCAGCAGCCCCAGCGAAGGGGAAGGCTGGGGCTGGTGTGCCTGTGTGAGTTCAAGCAACTTTCTTGGGGCTGGTCTTCATTTAAAAGTAAAAAAAATTAAAAAAGGAGGAAAGTTCTTTTTGCTTGTTTTTGTTTTAAATCGGCAGCAAGGGGCTGCCTCTTCCTTCCAGGAAGACGCTGGGATGGGCATGGAGTGGGGCATCCCGAGTGGGGCTGATCCTGCAGGCTCACCCTGCCACGGCAGGCTGCTCCGTGCCTGGCTCTGCCAGCAGTGTCCCAGCAAGGCTCCTCCACACGCCAACGTCCTCATCCAGCAGCAGGATGAAGCCGTGGGCCCGGGCACCATGGTTTGCAAATACCCTGTGTCCAGCTGGGGGGAAGAAGCAGCAGAAGAGGCAGTGGCCTCAATGCTGGGAATCATCTCCCCTGGCTTTCAAATTTTATTTTATTTTTTTTTTTAAATTTCATTTTCTCAGTGCCAAGGTCCTGACCAGGCATAAACCAAAGCCGTTTCCTCCTCCAGGCATTTCAGCCTCTGCCCAGCCAGCTCCACGGAGCCCCAGCCTCCGGCAGAGGATGCTGGAAGCCAGCGCTCCCACGGCCGGGAACAGTACCACCGCAGGAGTGAAGGAGGAAAATCCTCCAAGAGCTTCAAGCTGCCTCTGAACTTGATCAAAGCAAAGCAAATCAGGGGCACACGCTCAAACCCAGCTCCAGCAGAGCCATCTAACACTCGAGTGGTGAATGTGTTTGCCGCTGCTGTAGTTACCAGGCTGGTCATGGCCAAGAGCAAGCCTCACGTGCAGGGGTCTTTGCCTGCCTGGCCGGCACGGCACAAAGCCTCCTGCCAGGACCAAGACGTCAGATGGAGCTGGTGTTGAATGGAGACCTTACCCCTTCTCCAGACAAGACTTCTGCAGTGCTCAGTTCCAAAAAAAGTTTATTTTTAATAACGCATTGTCTGAAATTTACAGCGTGTCAGAGGGTGGGGTTTGGTGGTTGGTTTGTTGTTTGTTTTTTTTTTTTTTTTTTTGGTAAGAAATCAAATAGAAACCAGAGAAAGGGTGGGGGGGAAAACTGCGCTATGGCTACAAAAGAAATTTGCCCAGCGTACAGCTGCCCTTCCCCATGCCCCGGATCATGTCCTGCAAAGCCCTGCGCACAACCCGAGCTCCGGCCCCGGAGCAGAGGGACCCTCCGGCAGCTGGAGGCAACCGTGCATGGGCTGAAGGCACAGGCTGTACCGGGAAACAGGAGAACTCAACCCAAACCAACCCATACCTCTGGGCAGCAATGTGTAAGATGGGCACCTATTTAGACGGGCACCTTCAACAGGCTGCCGGCTCCAGCTGCGGTAGTGTCAGGGTTTAGTGCTGGTTTTAAAACTGGCAGCCAGATATGGGAGATCTGTTGAGTTATGGAGCGGACTGTACAGAGAGCAGCTGAGTTAAATCAGCTCAAACCTCCGCTCACTGTTAGTGTTTGTGGTCCAATAACCCCAGGCCCTCCTGCTGAGCTGCGGCCGCCAGCTTTGCTGTGCTGAGCTAATGGAGACAGAGCAAGCCCTCAGCTATTGAGTGGCCATTAGCTTCCATCTCTGCAAACCCCGCAGGGATCTGTAATCCCCCTCCATTAACTACTCCATTTAAGTAAAGGGAATACTGGAAGCAACCGCACCCGGGAGGTAAGATTTACACGGATGAGCAAAAGCTCCCGTCCACGTTAGTAGAGCCAGTAACTATTTTAATCGTTAGGCTATGCACCTCACTGAGAAGCTCCTGCTTTCTCTGGATACAGATTTCTGACCCTGGCTCTCCAAAGGAGCCCACTAAGCACAGGATTTAAAATACCAGAAGCGCCCAGGCCCATGGTTTAGGGAGCTGAAGCCCAGCCAGCTCCTGGCGATGGGGAAGGAGGTCCCCAAGAGCAAGTTCACCCGACGGAGGCACGGATCCTGCTCACCAACAGCTGCTCCGGCAGCTTTGCCTTGAATGCCACCCGCCACCAAAGCCTTGGCAAAGGGGACCGCAAGGACCAGCATGAAGATGCTGCCCATCACCCTCTCTATCTACACCTGTGGGTGCTCCTTGGGGCTCAGACTCATCCTGACAGAGGATCCTTCTCCCAGGGAGGCTGCCTGACACCAGCTCCTCACTGCTCCACTCTGCCACATGCCTGAGAATGGGCTCTATTCAGTTTTTCTTGGATTTATTTTGATGAGAAATAAAGGTACGGATGCTTCAGAGTCGCAGCCCGTAGTGCTGGATAAGCAGAAGAGTTGGGGGGGAAAATTCTTTAAGGAGAAGACGTGTTTTGTAGGAGCAGCCCTTCCCTTGGGATGGACAGCTGGGTGATGCCTGACGGGTCTGGTCTCCCCTAAGAGCTCCCTCAACTGATTAAGCAGGCAGGACTCTTACCTACCAGCAGAGAAGCATATGAGTTAGTGTTCAGCACCTATTGGAGAGCTGGGGCAGGCTGCTGCTTAGAGGAATTTAGGGTTTACAGTCTTGTTACACTTCGCTTCTCCTTTAGTGAAAGAAATCCTGTTTAACGGAAACAGGGAAAGCCAGCGCAGCTCCTGGCCCAGGCTCGCTGCATCCCAGGGTGGAAGCAGGCAGGCAGGGGGTTCCCTACAAATTCTACTTAAACAAGAAAACATGACTTTTCCACTAGCAGGTTTGAAGCACGCATCAAAATGGGCCCCTGAAGCAGGGGGAGTGCTGGACTCCAGGACAGACCTAAGGACCGCAAGTCCTAAAAAGCAAAAACTGCCAAAAAAAGGGTGATAGACGATACAAAGGAAAAATTAAAAAAAAAAAAAGGGGGGGGGGGGAGAAAAAAAAAAGGTACTTGAAGCGTAGAGCAAGATTTTGCCACGTTGCAGCAACTCCACTACGGCACAGAGTCCAGCCGGGGGCCGATCCCCTCCCTCCTTCCCCCCCGCCACCTTCCCCCAGAGCAGGGACACAGTCTTTCCAAAGCCTGCCTTGACGGTCAGTATTTCACGCCGGGCACAAACTCCTTGGCATCTGGATTCAAGTTGCTTTTGCTCTGGAAGAAAAGAGGGAGGGGGACCTGCCCATCAGCGGTCTAAATGGCGGCATCCCCCTGCCAAGCATCGCTCCATGGTCCCACATCCTGAAGGTGCCCCGTCCTGGCAGCCGCTTGCCGAGGATGCCGTTATGGATGTTCACATATGCAAAGTGGCTGCCCTGGCCCTCATGTCCTTGCAGGTACCCGCAGCACTCGAGATGGTGCTGAACAAGGGCCAGCTTGAAAAGTTATCTACTTCCAGACTGGGTTTTTGGGGAGAAAACATGGGAGGGAGAATCTACTGTTTCTGTCTCTCCCTGTTCTTGCTTCAGCACACGGCTGCATGTGGATGTGCTGCAAGGTTGAAGCGGCTGTTTTATCCCCACCCACGGTAAAGCAGGGAGGTAAAGCAGCTCAGCCTGAGCACAGTCAGCAGGGCCAGACCAGAACAACCCCCACTGTGCTGGTCCATACAGGCCTGCGGCATATTCCTGCTTTCAGGGATGAAAACAGGCATCTCTGTAACACTGCTGCTCTTCCAGCCACCCAGCAGGTTTTCACCACTCTAAATATCTATATAGGCTCAGGATGCTCAGCACGCCTGGAGCAGACCTGGCTGGTCCTTCTGTACCTCTCCAGCCTGCCAGGACACTCCAACTCTGCCCAAAAGGCAACAAAGGTCCTGGCTTGCTCTGGGGCCAGAGCCCAGCTCACGTGCAAGTGGCAGCCCCATCCCACGATTTCTGGAGAGCAAGTTCTGCAAAGCTGGATACTTGTGTCTTTAGGATACGTGGCTAAAACAAAACATCCTTGCAGAAAACTCCAAAATGCATTGTCACCGCTGCATTAGCATGAGCTCTTGCACCGACACCCCACTGCCACTCAGGAAACCCCCCTGAGGAAATCCACCCCGCTTCCCAGGACAGGTCCTCCGCTCTTCGGCAGACCTCACAGCACGTGTTCTCCGAGGTCCTTACCAGGATGTCCTCTGAACTGTGGCCGTCACCAACGGAGAGCCCATTCAGCTGCTGCTGCAGCTGCCCCATGCCCTGGGGCAGGTCGCGCGATGGAATGAACCAGTCCTGGTCTTCTTCCTCCAGCATCTCCTGGAAGCAGCGGTCAAGAAACTCCTGCTCCTGCAGCTCCTCCTCCACCTGCCCAAAAAGACCCGTTAGTCACAGGTACAAATGATGCATCTCGGTGTTTTCCATACACTGTCCCCACCTGGTAAAAGAGTCTGCAACGTGCCTACCTCACCTCGGTGTCTGTCCATGCCTCAGAAACATCACAGGACAGCCAGAGCTATATTTTAAACCTAGACAAACACAGCTTTGTCAGCTTGCCTGTAGCCAACCCCAGGAAGTGCAAGAGCACAAAAACTGGCACCTTTTGAACGGAGCAAAGCTGTGCTCAGGCATCGTTTCCCGGCTGCTGCAGGCCGCCGGGGCAGGGAGATGCAGCCTGAAAGCTCACGGCACCAGGCAAATCCAAAAGGGAACAGGATAGGATTTATGGGACATCTGGATG